CCCCATCCTGCCCGGGGAGGGGGTCACAGCCCCGGCCCCCCCAGCCTGGCACATCTGGCAGGGGGCTGGGGAAGTGCTGACCCAGCACCGAGCTGCCTGGCTGAGCGTGGCGTGAAGAACAGATTTTTTTTCCACTTTCCTCAAAAAGCAGAGATCAAAGAAGTGTGAATCTACCTGAAAACACGATTTTTTAACCCAAGTCTGGCAATAATGCAAATTCTCAGGTTTTTGTTTAACCTGGAATGAAATTTTTCTATGAGATGCATTCACAAAAGAGCTTGGAAAATAACACTGAAGAGAACTGAAAAGGGCTTTTCAAGGAAAAGATATTTTTTTAAATGCCGTATTTTAAATTTAAAAAAAATTCAACTGGACTATTTCCACCCTTGGGCAAGGGGCTGCCCTTTGCAACCAAGGCGAACGAGGAGGAGATGCTGTTGGGGCTGGGAACTGCTCCGAGCTGCTATTTTCTCCCAGGGAAAAATGTTTTTCCCAGTTCTCCGTCAGCGTAACCCGAGGGGTCTCTGCCCCCACCGGCGCGTTCTCCTGACCCTGCTGAGATGGAGAAAAGGATAAAGGAGGGGAGCTGATATTAGCATTGAGCCCAGGAACCTCTTTCCTTACTCAATCCCCTGACCCCAATTTTTTCTGGGTACCCCAGTGGGGTCATTCCATGAGCTGTGCCGGTATTTTTCCATCTGGCAACCGAAGGGTTGTCTCCCCTCGGGGCTGAATTCAGCCCCCCTCTGTCTAGGACCGACCCCCCCAGGGATGCTGCGGGCAGGTTTAGCCATGCACGGAGATGCTCGTGTTCAAACTGAGCTTTGGTTGATTAATGAGGGTGCATCTAAATGAGCTCGGGGCTGGGAGGATGCTCTGAGCGACGGGGAAGGGAGCCCACGGGGAGGGTCTGAGCCGCTGGCGTAACCCTGACCTCAGCCCAGCAAACAACCCGGGGGCTGTGGCAGAGCCCCCACCCAGCCGACACTGTGTCACCCTTTGGGGACCCCCAGCAGCGGGGACGAGCATCCAGTACAAACCAACCACCCCGCTCAGAGCATCACCTTGAGCAGCACCCACTGGGCTGCATGCTCCGAGGACACGCACCCATGCCCAGCACCCACCAAAAAGGTGCCTCATCCCTTCGGGAAGGGTTTCGGCACGCGGGACTGGGATTTCTCACCCTGATGGGACAAGGACCGGAGCCGGCATGCCAGCAGCCCTTGCTGAATGTCCCAAGCCGTGGCCGAGGTAGCCAGGCTTCCCCAGCGGCTCCGGAGCTCCAGCCCCACCTCTTGGGGCTGCTTCCAGATGGCCTGTTTCCGGGGATAATCGATCCAATTTCTGCAAGTAAACTGGCCAGGGAAGCAAGCTGGATAATGACGATTTACTGGGTGGAAAATCAGATCAAGGAGGTTTCAGGAGGTAATGGACATTGTGCAACGGATTCAGGGAAATGTGGTCAATCGATTGAATTGGAGAAGTGACTTCACTGAAAGTTTCTTCAGATTTAAGGTCCCTTCCAACCATTCAATGATTCTGTGATTTCCTTAAGCCATATGAATGAGTGTCACCTCCCTGGGCACGTAAGGGACAACCCCTTTGGCAGGGTCCCAGCTGCCTTCTGCAGGTCTCAGCACATACGAGCACAACCCCCCACTCAGGGACATCAACACGCACCAAAACCCCGCACAAACACAAATAATTCCTCAACACGCTCCCCAATCCATCCGGAAAGGTGCTGAGCACATTGGTGCTGCAGAAGGACACGTCACAAGCATGTCCCTTTGCCCACCAAGGGTGGTGGCACCCAGGGAAAGCCAGGCTGTGCCCCGTCCTCATCACGCTGAGTGTGCACAAATGTTCTTGGGCATGGTGACCCAGCCATGACCACCTGTAACACCTCCCTTCTCTGCCCCCCACCCAGGTACACCAAGATGAAGACGGCCACCAACATCTACATCTTCAACCTGGCCCTGGCGGACGCGCTGGCCACCAGCACGCTGCCCTTCCAAAGCGCCAAGTACCTGATGGAGACCTGGCCCTTCGGGGAGCTGCTCTGCAAAGTCGTGCTCTCCATCGATTACTACAACATGTTCACCAGCATCTTCACCCTCACCATGATGAGCGTGGACCGCTACGTTGCCGTGTGCCACCCGGTTAAAGCCCTGGATTTCCGCACGCCGGCTAAAGCCAAGATCATCAACGTTTGCATCTGGGTGCTCTCCTCCCTCATTGGGGTGCCCATCATGGTCATGGCGGTCACCAAGTCAAAAGGCAAGTGGCTTCTGGGGAAAGGTCCTCTCCTTGTGGAGATGCCCCATCCCTGGAGGGGTTCAAGGCCTGGCTGGATGAGGCTTTGGGCAACCTGGGCTGGTGGGAGGTGTCCCTGCCCATGGCAGGGGGTGACACTGGATGGGCTTTAAGCTCCCTTCCAGCCCAAACCATCCTGGGATTCCATGATTCCCATCTGCCCATCCTGGGGGCTGACCTGGCAAACCCAAGCCAGGTCCTGTAGCAGGTTTGAGCTGGGTGATGGGCACCCCTCCATGGGTCCATAAGCACCCTCTGCCATGGGAAAACCATCACGGTGTTATTTTCCATCTGGGCTGCAGAGGTTGGAAACCATCCCACTGATTGTCCTCCTTCCCCATCTCCAGTCCAACCAGTGCTTCTTCCCAGTTCCTGGGGTGCAAACCAGGTGCCTAAAAACACCCTCAAGGGTGTTGCAAAGTCCCCAACTGGCCCCCCCGAGATCTGCAGCTCCTGTGTGAGGATGCCAGCCCTTGGCTGCTGGGAAACCCTTGGGCATCTTGAGGAAGGGGACAAGCTTCAGTAGAAGGTGACATGGGTCCACCACAGGGGTTGGGAGGGGGCAGCGTGGGGATGGCCCAGGAGGCTCTGCAGGGAACAAGTCCCTGGGTCACTGCATACCCTCAGCACCCCAAGGGTAGGGGGCTGGTGGCACAAAGCTCTTGGGGAATCTCTGTAAGGAGCTGGGAGGTGGGCATCCATCTCCTGGTGTTTTGACAAGTGTGGCCATGCCATGACCGAGCAGAAAGCGGATGGTGTTCATAGCAGATGCTCCATCCATTCCCCCTTTGATGCTCCTCTTTCCCACAGATGGGATGGTGCTGTGCACTCTCCAGTTTCCTGATCCTGCCATCTACTGGGACACCGTGACCAAGATCTGCGTCTTCATCTTCGCCTTCATGGTGCCCATCTTGGTCATCACCATCTGCTACGGGCTGATGATCCTTCGCCTGAATAGCGTCCGCCTCCTCTCGGGCTCCAAGGAGAAGGACCGCAACCTGCGGCGCATCACACGCATGGTGCTGGTGGTGGTGGCAGCCTTCATCATCTGCTGGACGCCCATCCACATCTTCGTCATCGTCTGGACGCTGGTGGACATCGATAAGAAGAACCCCTACGTGGTGGCCAGCCTCCATTTCTGCATCGCTTTGGGTTACACCAACAGCAGCCTCAACCCCGTCCTCTACGCTTTCCTGGATGAGAATTTCAAGCGCTGTTTCCGAGAGTTCTGCCTCCCTTTCCGAGCCCGCGTGGACCAAACCAGCTTCTCCCGCGCCAGAACCACCACGCGGGAGCGCGTCTCCACCTGCACCCCTTCCGAAACCCGCAACAAGCCGGCATGACTAGCCGTGGGCAGCCTCCAGCGGGGCTGCCGGGACCACAGCGGGGACGACCTGCGCTCAGAAGTCACCCAGGTCACCACCACGGAGTTCTAGCAGACCCCGGGTGCCACTCGATAACACCGCTGGGTTTTGTTCAAAGACTTCATTATTTTTTTTTCCCATCCTGGAGAACCCGTGATGGGAGAATCAGGACTCACATGTTGGGAGAGGACCAAAGCCAAGATGTCACCTTGGCCAAGCTGCTCTGCTGCTGCTCCCACCGCGGCTGGGGACACCCAAGGGATGTCACTCCCCAACACGCGGCTGCTGGCAGAGCTCGAGCATCCCGGGACACTGTGGTGGCAATGACCGTGAGTTCCTCCTGTGTGGGCCAAGATGGCATCGCAGCCCGAGGCGAGAGGGGAAACGCTCCCGTGGCAGAGGGGAACGGTGCCGGGAGGTGATGGGGCCTCGCTCCATCCCCCTCTGAGCCGTGTCCAAAAACCAGCCGGAGACGGGAAGAGAAAACGACGCTGCTTCAGAGACGGTGTTATCAAAGAGCTCCAGCTCCATAATGAGGATTTTACCGGAGTCCTTCAAAGCGGGGGACTGGCCACAGAGGACAACTCTGTGCTGTTGATTTCATGGCTGTATTATTTAGAGACCTCTGAGTGCAGCCAGGGCAGCCCTAGACATGGGTGTGATGCTGGGAATTGGGATACAGCCAGGGAACGGGTGGGGGAACGGAGCCGGGCACGTCCCAAGCGCCCCCCACGGTCCACATCCCGATGCCAAATATCCCCCAGCCCAGCGTCCATCAGGGTGACGGGGAACCGCTGCTGCCCCGCCTGCCTCCGAAGACATTAAGCCCGAGAAAAATCTCGTTAAGGGAGCCGCTGGTGGGGACGTGAGGAGTTTCTCGCAGCGCTAAAGCAATTAGGACGTACCAACGAGCGGTGCTGCGGGGGCTCTCCCTGCCCTGCCCACGGGTGAAGGATGAGCGGCCGCACTGCCCAGACTCCCTTCAGCAAAACCAAAACCAATCGGATTTCTTTTTTTTCCTTTAGTAGAAGATAGGGAAAATATCCCCATAGTTTCATAACTCCCTGAGCAGGGGAAGCACAACATCCCTCTGTGCCAAGAAAGGACCCACAGCCCACAACAGGCAGAAATTTGGGGATTTTTGCTCACTGGGATGGAGCTGCCATCCCTCCGATGACGCAGCTGAGCTCCAAGGCAGCACATCCCGTGGGACCCACTGCCCAGGGACCTCTGGACCACGTTATCTCAAATGATGACCGCTGGGTCCTCCCAGCCTTCCGCTCCTCGAATCGCCCCCACCAGCCCCGAGCAGAGCATCCGGGAGCCGCAGCTTTTCCGTCCTCCCACCTTCCCACCACTGCGGCTGCGGCCAGCAGGTCAACCCAGCCGGGGAGGAGGAGGAGGAGGAGGCTGGGCAGGAGCAGTAATAGCATTTAGCAGACAAATTGCTGCAGCTGGAGGAAGCAGGCGAGCGGCTGGGTGCACCTGGGGCTCGTGGGCTGGAGGGAGAGAGTCTGGGTTGTGTCTCCGGTTTTTCCAGTTGCGTCAATTTAGCCTAATCAAGGTCGCTCCCCGACAGCCCTACCTTGCTCCGGAGCCGGGGGGGGAAATTGCAGCCTCCCTGCTCGGAAAGCATAGCCAACGAGGCATCCTAAACCAATTTATCTTCCCAAGGAACCTAATGGGGTGAAATTGCCCGTTTGGGTCTCAGATCCATCTCTGGCTATCCTCCTCCTCTGCCCGCTCTGTGTCTCCTGCCCTGAGTAAAAGCCTCTCGCTGGGTGTTGTACCAGCCCGGACATCTCCAGCTCCCTCCCGGGGCTCCTCGGGATCCTTTTGCAGGATGGACGGAGCCCTGGACCATGAGCAAGATCAGCTCTGGGACAGGAATTGGGGGAAAACCCCCAGGATCCCACAGGGATGAGTTTTGGCTCCATGGGAAGAGGGATGAAGATGTCCAGAAGGAGTTGAAGAGCATCCTTCAGCTCCACCTCCACCCAACCTGGGGGCAAAACCCTCAGCACCGGGCAGTGGGAAAGGTTTGGAGCCAGGTCATGGTGAGGTCCTGGCAAGGGAGGGATGTCCTGGCAGGGGTGGGATGTCACCAGGGGAAGGTCATGCTTAACTAA